GATTGCTCCAGTAGAGCTCATTTTTTGGCCCATTAGTTAGAACGGCGGAGATAGGCGTGACTCTGTCCATTAATATATACAGTCTATGGTCCGGACCAGGATTCGTTTGTGTGTATTCAGACCTGCATAAAAGCTTCGGATCAGAGTTCCAAACAAATCCTGGTCCGTTTAAAGTGGAGCAAATGTGCAGGTCTGAATACACCCTTAATTGCTTTTCAAGCCTCACTCACCTTGTTCCAACATGTCTTATTTTATAATGTCCTGCATTCTGATTTGTTGATTATTTTTAACCCTTTACTCTCCCAGCCGATTTTTTCAAAAACATTTCAAATTGAACCTGTTAGAGGACCCTTTGGAGTACAAACAAGCAGCTGGTCTCATGTGAGAAGTATGGACTGTAATTGTGATGCAACTGTGATGTCATGATGAGTTATTCAGACCTGCTGTTCAATCAGGCTGTGATAAAGACACCAAGCACCAAATGCACCTGTCACTCATATAATAACACCGCAGACAACATAATCCTCATCTGGTTATAAAATAAATAATACAACAGACGTCTCAGCAACATGGCATGGCGATTGGGGACAGCACCATTTGAGCGGCAGACTTTCTCATCAAGAAGGGTGACCGGAGGGTGAGTTCCAATTATCGGTGGGGTCTACTCCAAGGTACTGGAGAGAAGACTTTCCGGCCGCAGAACACTGGTTGAGCTCTCTACACTCAATCGCACACTCAAAGGATCATGGGAGTTCGTCGTGGTATGTTTTTTCCCCCATTACAAGTGGTGCTCGTGCCCTGACAAAGGGTGTTGTGCAAAAAAGGTTGGGAACCACTGGTTTACAGAAGAAAATATTTACCAACCAATTGGGCCTTTCAATAGAGGTTCTTCCGCTTTATCCGTCACCTGGTTGCAGAGGCAGATAGGTGTCCCCACTCCATATCCATGGACACCCCTTTCAGATGAACCATCTACGCACTACCTCCATGGTATCCTGGGCTTTAACCTCTCCAGGGAGGCACCAGGAGGCATATAGGGACGTCCCGCGTGACGTCACGCCATTTGGATCAGCCATTTTGACGGTGTAGAAATGCAAAACTACTAACTAATGCAAAAATACTACAGGTATCACCTGTTGATACTACAGGTATCACCTGTTGATACTACAGGTATCACCTGTTGATACTTGTAGATTTTCCAATCATGCCGTAGCGATGCTGTGCAGTTGGATGCAGCCAGATACGTGATCAGACAAAAGGAATATCTTTATACCTGGTGCACGGAGGTTTTCAGAATTAATGCTTCATGTTTTCATTACTAAAATAAAAGTACAATGAGCTTTCAGTGCCTGTTAATACTGTGCAGAGAAGCTAGCCGAGCTAGCCACTCTCAAACAAATACCAATCAATCAATCAACACCATTAAATGTTAATCAGAGAATACAGTATACATATACATTCCTAACACAAATGCACGGAGGTTTTCAGAATTATTTGCTAACGTTTTCATGACAAAAATACTGTTTTAATGTAACAAAAAGCGATCGTGATAAACCCGGAAGTAACCATTATCATGAAACGAACATTTTAGGACACATTTGAAGAGGATCTGATTATGGATTTAGGTTCGGTATATAAATTAGTTCCTCACCACCGATGTTCAGAATTCTTTGTTCAGTTTTCATGTAGTTCCAGAGAGTTTTTGAACTAGCTAGCTTAGGCTGACACTCGGCTATGGGTCTCGTGACTGGGAAATCCCTATATAGCTTTTGACGTGCAGGAGCAGCGACTCTACTCCGAGCTCCTCGCTTGTGATTCATTTTTATCACTTGTATTTGTGACCTTGTTCTTTTTGGTCATTATCGCACCCTCTTCATCATAACTGATACACTTTTGATACTGAAACAATCAATGATTAACTATTTTTTGGCACGTCAACTCTTAACCTTCAACATTTCTCCGTGTGAAGAGCCTCATACAGGTGGGATGGATGGGGAAAGAGATCGATGATGCCGTTACATTTTTAAAATCTAGACCATTTTTGGCCTCTGCTGTAGAGACGAGACGAGAACAATTACGGCCTAATGTTTCACCCGGAAAAAGGAGAAACCAGGGGTAGTTATTACTTAAGCGATGGATAATGCAAGGGAGGAGTGATTATGTGAGCGTGTTGGTGCAGATAGCAACAAAGGTACAATGGGCAGTGTTTTAGTTTTTATGAATAAACGTTTCACTTATTATGTGAGTTACCAAATCTTTTTCTCTGGATGCTCTGGAATTTACCACTTTCTTATTTCCATACAGCTGTTCTTCAAAGCTGCGATCACAAACCCTCAGCATCACTTGTTGCTCGGGGCAGCGGCAGAGATGGTCAGAGAGAAGATGTAATTAGTTTCACCCTCGTCCCAAATCTCCATGGAGACGAGCCTATGTGCCTATGTGTCATTATTCTTTCACTCCATACACGGTGGTGATAAACTACTCGAACCCACGACCCTCTGGCTCAAAGGCCAAAGCTCTACCAACTGAGCTACTGTCGCCCTGCATATAGATAGTCGCACTGTTACTAGCTGGGGTACATAACTTTAGTATTTCATGAAAAATACATGCTGTTTGTTGTAACAGAAAGTCAAAATAAAAACAATAAATCGCAGTCTTGAAAGAAAAGAATCTTGGGCTGAGAGCTGATTTGCAAAATGGAAATGGAACTTCCAAAAAAAGAAAGCTAATCTAATGTAATAGAGCAATAGAACGACCACAACACCATTAATTAGTAATAATTCCAGTAATCAAACATGCAGAAAGTCACATTTCCTTTGTATTTATTTCCTGATGTACTACCAGAAGCATTATTTGTTAATTATCCAATGTGTTTAAGTGGTCTGGATCTTTATGAAACTTATTATGCCATTATATTGAACTGCATTCTTTATGGCAAGATGGCGCTGTAATGGACTCCATTGGTTCCATGTATCACCAATGTCTTCTGAGACACAATCCCAGCATCCTTGCATCATTTGTCATTTTCTACAGCAGAATCACAACCAGAGCATAGGTTGAAGATAAATAAAGACAACATGGAAACTATATATTATACCACAAGTGTGTGAATTTTATTTGTATCTGCATAGGATCCCATTCTCCCATACTAGTAACACATCCATACAGCAGAAACCTGACACCACTGTGCTTCTCCATATACCATCTACTCTATACACAGAGAGGAAACAGGAAATGTGGCCGCATAGCAAAATAATCATTTATCATTAAGGGAATAAGCATGTTAAAACAGTAAAGGAAAGAGCCATTACATTAGAGTGTGCTACATAGCTCAACATAAAAAACAGTGAAACAAAATTAAATATGTATTCAAACACAAGGCCACTGTGGTAAACGTTGAAAATATGCGGTTGCTAAATATATCACAAATGGTTTTGTTCGACTTGTATTGTATTGCAACTATATTTGGGGCAACAGTGTCTCAGTTGGTAGGGCATTGACCTTTGAGCCCAAAGGTTGGGGGTTCGAGCCCACCACGAGACCTGCACCAACTCCACTGATGCCTGCTGTTGTTGTGTCCTATAAGGAGCTAGAAGGATGTGTATGCATCAAACTGAAATTTTCCCATTGTGGGACAAATAAAGGATCTTCTTCTTCTATTTAGACTTAATAGGCTGTTGCCAGTCCCGTTTAGTAATGTTAATTTGATGTCCGGTTATTGATCATTGTCAATTTCAGGTGCAGTCTCAATTTTAATGTGGGAAAAAGGAACATGTCCCTCTTGTCTAAGGGTGCGTTCACACTAATAAGTCCATTTGGATTGTTTACGAACAAGACAAATACTAAAGTCCTCATGATGTCACAGATCAGTTTCAAAAGAAGCAGACTCACAGCCTGTTCTATTTGTACACACTCCTTGTTCGAAGTGTTTTGTTTTGACTTTGGTTTAAAACACGGTGTGATGTTGTTGTTTGTATGAATACAAATTAATCAGAGCTCACTTCAGTTGGACCAAGTGTGAACTCCCCCTGAATATAGCCTTGTTTCTTTTCAATAAACCAAAATAATGTATGTTGACCCCCATGAAGACATTCAACAATTATCATTTGTTGATTGGCGCAGCCCGAATATTTGGGTAGATATCCTCCACCATTTCTTTACACTACTTCATACTCCACATGAGGCACATGTGTGTTGCGCTGTGCTACAAATGTTGTGTACATTATAATTGGTCCCAACTCAACAAAGCGACAATACTGTTGGACGCATTCACATGTCTTCCTCTTGTCTTCGTTGTACACGTGATAACATATCATCTACAGTATTCACAGTAATAATGGTGGTACAAATGGGTGATAAGACAAACATTTATCAAGACATTCAATAAAGTATAAGGCAGTGTTGTAAATGCAAAAAATACAAATATAAATCATTTTGTCATATTAAATATGAGCCTGCACTTTTTAGGTTTAGGCTTTGTAGGAACTGGAAACACAAAAAGTACAAAGTAAAGTCTGCTTTCACAGGATATTTAGGCAACCCGTTATCATAAATCACAGCTCTATTATTATATCATAAGGCTTAAGAACAACTGAAAGTAAGTATGTTAAGTGTTTCATATACGTACATTATGTGTGTTTGACAACATTTTATTAAGGCAGCAAATAGACAGTACAAATAACATGATCTTCATATAAATTGTTGTGTAATCAAGAATAAATCTGCATTCTACAATGTCATTAGTAAAAATTATATTTCATTTGAACAGGTAGGTCATGTTAGTCCATTTTTTACACGTACAAATTAAACATAGTATTTTAAGACATCGCAACAGTACATATGGTGGTCATGCGATGTGACACATGCGGGTGGAGTTATAACATGTAGATGTATATATAAGTACATGACGGTTTAGTAAATGATTGTCTTTATTTGCGTCTCAGTCTGGTCTTGAATGTAACCACAGTCCACTCCAGGGTCACAGACACTTCTAGACACGATCAAGTCAGAGTCGTCATCTCAGACTTTGGGTAGTTTCCACCACCGCCCAGGATGTCCTCTATGGTGACAGAGAAGCACAATTTAAAAAAGTATTTAGATAAACAGTAAGTGAGAGACAAGATAGGGGACATCTGAGCTAAGACACAATGCTTTATAGTTATTTAACAACTATCTTAAAAGTGTATTGGAGAATTTTCTACTTCCGGGTGGATCATCAAGACTATTGGTCCTCCCCATTGTCAATCATTGTGGTGATATGTGCTCGTCAAATAAGATTAGAGAGTTTTTTTTCAAAAAGTGGAGAGGGTTGTTCCTTTCTAAAATTTGGGATAATCCTCTTGTATGCCTTTAAGAAATAATAATCCCTGAATATTAACTAAGCCATAGCTCCATGTATTTACTATATTCCAGTTCCAAATGCAGTGTTACATTTTCTTTCAAGTTATTGCAGACTTCATGCCATCCACCTATTTTGGCCTAGCCATATACAAGAAATAAGTGCAATAAGTGTAGGGCGACAGTAACTCTTTTGGTAGAGCTCAGTTGGTAGAGCATTGGCCTTAGAGCCTGAAGGTCGTGGGTTCGATCCCACCATAAGACCTACTTCACGACTCCTGCTGATAACTGCTGTCGTTGTGTCCTTGGGCAAGACACTTAACCCCACTTTGCCTGAAGCCCCCGCTGAAAGATCTCAGCTCCTGTGGACTCACCACCTGCAGGAGGATCAGTGAGGGGCTGGTGCTATGTGGACTGGGTGCAGCTCTGACTGCCACCCCCCCGACCCAGAAATGGATTAAGGGGAAGAAAATGGATGGATGGAAGTGCAATGTACAATGATGACAAGACATCCTTTTTCTCAGAATGAAGCGTAAAAGTCTCAACAAACTGTCTTCAAGTGATGTATGTACACATGCAGCTGGCCCCATGAAATATGAATTGCCCAATTGCAAAAGGCAAGAAGGCGAAAATGAACGCATTTTCTACATAGTTTTTGTGTTTTTGGCAAGTAATCTGACACTACATAAATTACACATATGACAATGAGGACAATATTCTAAAGATTACATTATTGTGCTGTACAGAATGGGGTTAGGATTTGGCGCCTAGACCCTGGCAGAGCACTGAACGATTCCAGAAAGAGAAAGATGAAATATCCAGGAGCCTAGAACCTGTTGGTGGTAGCTAAGAGAAGGATGAAGGAGCTGGCCTAGAACAAGGTGGGGAGATGAGGAGGGTTGCTTGAATGAAGCTGCTGCTTGGATGATTGCGGTTGCTGTGAGCAACAGCAGGAGGACTTTGGGAGACACTAAGCTCACAGCGCTCAGTCTGAATTTGCGCTTAAGTTGAATTTATTTTGTGTATTTGGGTTCATTAGAGCAAAATGAATGATGTGGTGGGTACAACTTGTTAGGTAGCACATCATTGGGTATTGATTGCCATTCAATAAAATATGCAAAATAGAGTGCTGACGCTCTGGCAGATGGTCAGCGGAAGCATCGGTAGAAATATCTCCCAGGAGGAGACATACTCTTCTCCACAACACTTGCTCATGTCCTAACCATGAGTCACATGACAGGAGAAGCTCAACATTATACACAGAAAAGGTTTATAGTCAACCGCAGACCTGTGGTGTTAGAAGCTCAGCCTTCATAGATCTGTAAAATGATAATGGGGCAAAAATCTCCATATAGTCTACATGCACCAAACATATAGACAATTGTGCTTTCTTTATTATATTCAATTGATAATATGGACAAAATTACAATAATGAAAGGATATGGTCATTTTATGGTGGAGTTTTAATTATAATGCATAAGCTTGAATCATTTCTATCAGAATTCTAGACACAAAAACACTTGGGTTGGAGCCATGTTGCGCTTGAAGGCAATGCGCGCCAACGCGTGTAATGTATGTGTGATATTCAAGAGACTGAGATCTTATTATCAACATACACCACCAGGCACAGACCTGTGATTCAATTAGCTGCTCCTGTCTGTCACACAAAGACTGGGATTGAGCTCTGGTTTCGCTCATCTGTCGCGTTTCGTATTTCAGATAAGTGTGATTGCAAACGTGTGCGGCTTCTCCTTTCCCAGGTTCTTTTTCCCTGTGGTTTTTCCTCCACCTTATTTATTTGCTTAGGCATAATTACATAATAACATAATTAGTGTTATCTAATTGATTTCTTTATGCGTGTATTTGATTATTTTTAATTTAAATAGGTTAGTTTACAGTTGCCATTGAAGAAGATGACATAGTCTGGGATCGCGTCTTTCATTCAGACAGAAGACATGTTTTATTGTCGATGGTAGAGACAGCACGAACAACAAATACAACAGAATGCAAGTGTATTATACAGAGCGGAGGCATGGAGACCTCCAATCAGCAGCTGCCACGGTGTGCTTGTAGCTTGGCCTTCAGATAGACAAAACAAGGGAAAAGTACTGGCTTCTGCACATTGATAGAATGATGAGTTTAACTTTAACAAAAGTTGCTTAAAAGTGTTATGAAATCTCACACCATCTTGAACCAGACAAACAGGGGCATATGAAGATGTGAAAAATAAGACTGTAATATGTATTTTGAGGCAAGATCTAAAATTGAAACACCCAGTGCAACCAATATCAGTAGCTTCAAGATAAGATAAACTTTATGGATCTCACAATGGAGAGATCCATGCTGAGGAGGCATCTTTTTGTTTGTAATGGAATTTCAATGTGTTTATAATCAAACTTAACTTTTTTGTAATAAAACGTTGCTTTTTATAACGAAACTTAAAGTAGCAGTATGTAATATTTGCATGTCAAGTCATCATCAAATGGCACTAATATTTCAAAAGGCAATAATAAACGCTGCTCTTTTCAAATACTTCCCCCACACGAATAAACAAAGCCCAGCCCAGCCCTCTGCTGTTTTCGGTCATTACTTAATTTGCAAATCAATACATGCACATTTTACCAACCAAAGTAGCCAGTTAGCTTCACCTCTCCTGAACTGTGGTCTAAAAACCCTGGGACTTCTAGGCCCTGTTTATACTGAGACGCTGCGCAGACGTTTCCAGGCTATTAACAGAAACGACCAGGCTCCAAATGCAAATTTCTCAGCGTTCACATGAGGTTGAAAAACGATGTAGTTCTAGCGCCCGGCCAGTAGTGGGCAGACAAACTTTACAACACGACACACGACCCCGAGCCCCGTGCCCAGCCCCCCTCTCGGCAGTGTACTCACTTCCTGTGCCAGACCCTCAGAAAGTACCAACATCATTCTGCATTTTAACAGCAGCTGTGAAAATGGAAACTGAACCTAGAGCTTCGCGTGGTCTCGTTTGGAAGAACGAAGGAGTAGAATTATCCTCTGTGCTGTGCTCGAAGCCCACAAAGCTAGTTTGTGCGGGCGGCGCCATTATTGTTTATGTTTGTTCTCCGCTACTGCGCATGTCCAAATTTACGTGCGGGGAGCAGCGCGGAGGTGGGGGTCAGAGCAGAGGGGGATTTCACACCTTTTTCCCTCTCGCGGGTGTGAAAGAGCCCCCGCTGTGCAGCGTTTCTGAGTTGTCCCACTCTGCAGGCTGGATCTGAACACTTACGTTTTCACCCCCCTGGAACACAGTCTTCGTATGAACGGTTGGTAGCAACCGACATCCAACTATACCGTTTTACTGCCACATTGTCTCCGTGTAAACTCAGCCCTAGTGTTAACTGATTAACAGGTTAACAGTAATTCAACCGAGATTTTTGAATTTAAAAATTAGTTTTACAGCCCGTAAATGTTGTTATCGTTTTTATTTCGATAACCCACCCTCCAACGTTTCACCAGTCAGAAAGTCCGTGGTCTGGGTTGCCAGAACTCCCAACTCCTAGCTAATCTCAATAGAAAAAATAGAATGTGGCCGCAGAACTAAAAAAGGTCTTGTTATGATTCTCAAATCATTAATGACTAAAACAAGGATTTACACCGGGATGCTTTTGAAAAATTGAGACAATTGAAGGCGGATAAAAACCTTTCGTCTGATGCAACACTTGCTACGTTTGTGAGATTTCATAACACTTTTAAGCAACTTTTGTTAAAGTTAAACTCATCATTCTATCAATGTGCAGAAGCCAGTACTTTTCCCTTGTTTTGACTTCTGAAGGCCAAGCTACATGGCACCGTGGAAGCTGCTGATTGGAGGACTGCATTCCTCCATGCTGTATAATACACTTGCATTCTGTTGCATTCTGTTGTATCTGTTGTTCGTGCTGTCTCTACCATCGACAATAAAACATGTCTTCTGTCTGAATGAAAGACGCGATCCCAGACTTTGTCATCTTCTTCAGGTGGTGGAAGGATGCGGGCCTTGTCTGTAACATCTACAGAACAAATGTGTTTGTTTTTTTTAAGCCAAAACTGAAAAACCTCAAGAGAAACCATGCATCTGGACCAGCACACTTGGACAATCTGCACAGCCCCTGAGTCCAGTCAGGCTCTGAGCTGCTGAGACATGGACAATACCATCGTCCTCTTTTGCATGGACACCATTTGGAAAAATTGGATTACACAATTTGGACATGATTTGGAACAATTGGATTTCTGAATTTGAACATAATTTGGACTGAATTGAATTGCTGAATCTGGACACTGAAGCTGAAACGTGTGATTGAAAGACACGTCACAGAAGAATTCATGGCTTGACACAACAAATGCAGAAGCCTGAAGAAAACTAAAACGGAGAAGTGGGAGAGACTGTTTTCAAAGCAATATCTGGAACCACCATCGACTGATGAAGTTTGGTATTTTACTGAAGATTGTTGACAAGTTTTATGAAAGATCTGAACAAGTTTTATGAGTTTTTTGAAGTATTCCGAGTACCGAGTGAAGTACAGAGTTTATGAGTTTAAGTATTGAGTCATGATGTTATGTTGCTGTTTATCGATCCTGATGGTCACATGTGAATGTGTGACCAGAGGGGGGAATGTGAGATTTCATAACACTTTGAAGCAACTTTTGTTAAAGTTAAACTCATCATTCTATCAATGTGCAGAAGCCTGTACTTTTCCCTTGTTTTGTCTATCTGAAGGCCAAGCTACATGGCACCGTGGAAGCTGCTGATTGGAGGTCTCCATGCCTCCGCTCTGTATAGTACACTTGCATTCTGTTGTTCGTGTTGTTCGTGCTGTCTCTACCATCGACAATAAAACATGTCTTCTGTCTGAATGAAAGACGCGATCCCAGACTTTGTCATCTTCTTCAGGTGGTGGAGGATGCGGGCATTGTCTGTAACATCTACAGAACAGAAGAATCTGGACACTAAAGCTGAAACGTGTGATTGAAAGACACGTCACAGAAGAACTCATGGCTCTACACAACAAATGCAGCCTGAAGAAATCAACACGGAGAAGTGGGAGAGACTGTTTTCAAAGCAATATCTGGAACCACCATCGACTGATGAAGTTTGGTATTTTACTGAAGATTGTTGACAAGTTTTATGAAAGATCTGAAAATGTTTTATGAGTTTTCTGAGTTTTTGAAGTATTCCGAGTTCTGAGTTTTTTGAAGTACCGAGTGAAGTACTGAGTTTAAGTATTGAGTTATGATGTTATGTTGCTGTTTATCAATCCTGATGGTCACATGTGAATGTGTGACCAGAGGGGGGAATGTGAGATTTCATGACCCTTTGAAGCAACTTTTGTTAAAGTTAAACTCATCATTCTATCAATGTGCAGAAGCCAGTACTTTTCCCTTGTTTTGTCTATCTGAAGGCCAAGCTACATGGCACTGTGGCAGCTGCTGATTGGAGGACTCCATGCCTCCGCTCTGTATAATACACTTGCATTCTGTTGTTCGTGTTGTCTCTACTATCGACAATAAAACATGTCTTCTGTCTGAATGAAAGACGCGATCCCAGACTTTGTCATCTTCTTCAGTGGTCAGTGCACTCCTCTTCACTACATTTAATTGAATATACCACATTGCTCTGTTTGTGTCTGGGTGTTTTGTCTTTGGGATGCACTAATTTCTGTCTTAACGTGTTGAAAGGTTTGAAATACACAGGGATTTTTTGTTGCCTAAAGATTCTTTGTAGTTTCTCTGAAACTCCCGCCACATACGGTAAGGACACCCCTCTCCTCCTACTTTCTTCTGTCTGTTGGACTGTGTCTCTGGCCTTTCTCGTCCTTTGGGCTTTAGTAAAAGACCACTTGGGGTAGCCACATCTGGAAAGTGCTCTCTGAACATGTTTGGTTTCTCTGTTCTTTCCCTCCGAGCTAGTGGGGACCTGGTGGGCTCGGTGTTGAAGCGTTCTAACAACCCAGAGTTTGTGTTGTAGCGGATGATTTGAATCAAAGGCCAAGTACTGGTCAGTGTGAGTGGATTTTCTGAAGACCTCAGTCTCTAATTGTCCGTTCTCAAGGATGAGAACGGACCTTACAATCTAGAACCTTACAATCTAGAAAGGCGAGTTCACTCGCCTTAGCATCCTCACGAGTGAAATTTATAAAAGGGTCCACCGAATTAATGTGTTCTGAAAATGGTTCCACTTCCTGTTTCTTTAACTTAACCCATGTATCGTCTACATATCGAAACCAATGGCTTGGCGCTGTCCCTTTCTGTCAGAAAGTCCACTCACACTGACCAGTACTTGGCCTTTGATTCAAATCATCCGCTACAACACAAACTTGGGGTCATTAGAACGCTTCAACATCGAGCCCACCAGGTCCCCACTAGCTCGGAGGGAAAGTACAGAGAAACCAAACATGTTCAGAGAGCACTTTCCAGATGTGGCTACCCCAAGTGGTCTTTTACTAAAGCCCAAAGGACGAGAAAGGCCAGAGACACAGTCCAACAGACAGAAGAAAGTAGGAGGAGAGGGGTGTCCTTACCGTATGTGGCGGGAGTTTCAGAGAAACTACAAAGAATCTTTAGGCAACACAAAATCCCTGTGTATTTCAAACCTTTCAACACGTTAAGACAGAAATTAGTGCATCCCAAAGACAAAACACCCAGACACAAACAGAGCAATGTGGTGAATTCAATTAAATGTAGTGAAGAGGAGTGCACTGACCACTATATTGGAGAAACTAAACAAACTCTACAGAAACGACTTTACCAACATCGTAGAGAAAACTCTAGTGGGCCACAGTCGGCTGTTCATCTCCACCTCAAGGCCTCCAACCACACGGTGGATGACACAAAGGTTAAAATTCTGGCTCGGGAGAAGAATTGGTTTGAGAGAGGGGTGGAAGAAGCCATTTTTGTGAGGAAACAAAAACCTTCTCTTAACAGAGGAGGAGGGTTAAGATTTGTTTTGCCTCGCATCTATGACGACATCCTAAAAACAACGCCCTAACTTGGGACAAGGTCAGTGACATGCTAATGAGTTAGGGTCGTTAGCCTCAGCAGGGTCGTTAGACCTGCTCCCTTCTACATCAAGCAGACCTTAGATTGTTTATGAGTTAGTATCAGGATTAGGGTGTGGCTAACCACACCCATAGGTTATAAATCTCCAACGCGCGGTCTGAGAATTCCTTCCCTGAAGAAGTCCTTAGGATTGAGGACGAAACCTCGGGAAAACTTGCTAAGAAGTACAGATGATGGGTGAGAAACCTTCCTTTGCTTTGACTAATCCCTGTACGACTGAGGGCTTACACAAACTTAACTTTGTTAATGTTTTGTTGTTGGCAGCTTTTTTATTCTGTAAATAGGGATAGTCACAATAAGCTTTAGCTTTTTCCTATTCCATTTCAGACATAATGTGTATACATTTTCTATTTATGAATGATTTATTCAGACATATTTAACAATCTGAATAAAAAAAAAAAAAACGGATCAAACCTTATTTCACGATTCAAGCCCGGATTGTGAGCTGTGATTTATATGTTTATAAATGATGTCCCATCTCTTTTTCAATGTCCAAGTCCAAGTTTTAAAAAACTGAACAAAATATAACTTTGCTATTAATACTATACTAATACTGCTTGTCACATGCTGGACATATATGACATATCATTGTACATCTCTAAGTCCAAACATGCCCCATTACTCCGATCCATAACAATAAACACATTTAGGGTTGACAGGGCTTTTAGAAGGAACAAGTCCAAATACAATTTCCCCATAATGGCTTCACCCTCAAAGCAACAGAAGTGCTCCATTTACGTACTGTTTTTCTTAGACACTGATGGACTAATGAGCTTTGTCCACATTGCTTTGGCTTTGTGAACAGAACAGGCAACACAGAGGGAAAATTCCTGTGTCATTCAGCTAGCACTGCAGCGGTGGCAGCGCAGGCATGGATATAGAAATGTAGTACAGTATTGTAAAGTATTAATACAGCTTGAACTTTTGCACATTTTTTCAGGGAAGGACCACACACTTAACTATTTTATTTTAGTTAAGTGTGATACCGATACAGAGTACTGATACGAGTACTGCATTGTGTTATCCCTGGGAATTCATGAACAATAACAATTAAACATTTTAGCAATTGTTTTAACAGTCAACGGAGCCACTGTCATATTGTCAGAGAAAAAGCTGCGGTGCTAGCAAAGGTTACTCTGCGTGGTGGTGGAGTTTTATCAAGTTGCTGGTGTTATACGTGTTTGTTTTGGACCCCCCTCGTGACAGTTTTGCCTTAGCACACAATGTACAGTCTACTTCACTCTTGTCACTCTTGTTTACTTTAAAAAATGCCATATGGCCAACATCTTGTCCGCATGCCGTTATTCTGCGTGTCGATACATAGCCTGCGTGCCGATACATAGCCTGCGTGCCGACTTTTGGAGATCACCATGGCAACAAGTGCTGCACAGCTGTCTGCTGCCGTGGCGCAAACATAAATTAAAAATGTGGGTATCTGCTGCGGGTATTGGGTCCTATGGTATGAGTACACGAACAAGCTGGTGTCCCTACTGATTGCTGTTGTGATTTAGGACTATACAAAAATAGTAAGTAAGTAAGTAAGTAACCTTTATTTATATACCGCCTTTTCACTGCACATCGGAGTCTCAAAGCGGTTTACAATTGTTATTTTTGGGAGTGGGGGGCCAGTACAGGAGGCGCATGCCAGACCTATTGTACATATTTTTAGTGGTAGGGGAAACCGGAGCACCCGGAGGAAACCTACGCAGACACGGGGAGAACATGCAAACTCCACTCAGAAAGGCCCTGGTCCAACCGGGATTCGAACCCAGGACCTTCTTGCTGAGAGGCTAGAGTGCTATCCACTCAGCCACCGTGCCGCTGCACGTATAAAATACACGTATATACGCTGCCCCCCATATATGGAAGATTTTTTGTGTCATCAGATTTTGAATTTTAAATGAGCTTGAATTTTTCCATTTTAAATTTTTAACCCTGAAAAAGCATGTTTGAATATGTTTGTCTTTGCATTTCAGTCATTAAAAATTCTATTTACAAATTTCAATGTGATTAAAATTCACCCTCAAAATATTCAAAAAAAAAAAAAAAAAAGGACGGATTATTTGTTCCATCAGAAATGGAATACTAAATAGACCTGAATTCATCTACAATAAAAGAAATATACTTTAAATTTGTCTGTTACTTTGATTGTATTATTTTTCAGTAAATGATCTAATCTTACTTGCTCAATCTATACATTTTTTACTTTTTGTACCTTTTGTATGCCTTAAGTCTGATCGGTGGTGTCTTACCGGTGCACACACTGGACTTGTCAGAGGTGAGCAGGAAGCAAGTACCCTCCAGGTTGTTTTTGTCTCTGGGTTTTGAGCAGCGCAACGACCACTTCTCGTGTGGGGACATCGGCTGTGTAAGGCTGCAGCCCTCCTCCTGCGAAAGGGCCACGTTCGCGTCACCATTTTGTTTGGAGTCTGAGGAAAACAATAAATGCACAGTGACTAAAATGTCAAAGCTTTTACAGTGTCCCCTCAACGAAAAAAAAAACATCCAGGTAATTCTGCCAACACGATTTATTTTTAAGAAGAGTAAAAAGAGTAATTGAATCTTGGAGTGTTACTGTTCAAACAGCTGCGAGTGAGTCATTTGTCAAGCCTACACACAGCTCTTCAGTCCCTGTCGCACACTCATGGGCTCAAATAAAACATGATTAACGTCAAATACCAGACTATTGTGTTAATGGGAGATGCATTCCTTGCTGCTTTTTCTGTGGTGCTATTTCTTCTTTTGGCGTATCTATTGATAAACAGTCAGGATGCATTTATTGGTGATGTTTACATGTCTCATTCATTAAAAATAAAGGATACAGAAGACTATGAGATTACATCAACATCTTTTACCTTTATTTTTTCCAGACACAAGATCAATAAATCATATTGGGCATTTTCTGATAAAAATGTTTGTGCTGCTTTCACAATTTTCTTGTGGGCGGGACCACTCGCAGCCATTTTGGATAGCTCCAGTAGAACACTATTTTTGGCCCATTTGTTTGAACGGCGGAGATAGGCGTGACTAAGTCCATTAATATATACAGTCTATGGTCTGGATACACTAACGTATCCATGGCAAATGAGCCACATGCTAAACAAACCGAGGACACACGTATGAAGAGAGCTTGGTCATTTGGAACATGACTTGGGGCACTACGCCCAGATCAGATTTATGGCCATACTCTGGAAGGTGTTGTTTTGAACAAGAAAAGGGACAAAGAGCACCATTAAACTATCATTATATACAACGTAGAGTGCAGCATATGTTTAGTTCAGGCCCTCTGTGTTTGAGACTCTCACCTGAGTGTGTCCTGCTGCTCTCGTCTGCTGCCAGAGGACACGTGTCACTCTGGGTGCTGTCAATGTGAGAGTTTGTGTCCGACTTTCCGAACGACACAGAGTCAGTCGGGGCGTCCGGGTTGGGGTTGTGCTTCTTCTTCTTCTTGGGCAGCTTCTGTTTGGCCATCGCCAGTGAGTAGTACATCCCAAAGTTGTTGACAATAACCGGGACAGGCATGGCAATGGTGAGAACCCCCGCCAGAGCACACAGAGACCCCACAATCATGCCCAGCCACGTCTCCGGATACATGTCACCATACCCCAGAGTTGTCATGGTCACCACTGCCCACCAAAAGCTTATGGGAATGTTTTTGAAGTTTGTATGCATGGATCCTGTGGGGTCATCTGGATCAGCGCCTATTCGCTCTGCGTAATAAATCATTGTGGCAAAAATGAGCACTCCCAGAGCCAAAAAGATGATTAGGAGGAGAAACTCATTGACGCTAGCTCGTAACGTGTGTCCAAGCACACGAAGACCAACAAAGTGTCGCGTCAGTTTGAAAATACGGAAAATACGAACAAATCTGACAACCCGGAGAAACCCCAGAATGTCAGTAGCTGCTTTGGAGGACAACCCTGACAGCCCCAGTTCAAGGTAAAATGGCAAAATGGCCACAAAGTCAATGATGTTGAGGGTGTTTTTGATGAAGAGCAATTTGTTGGGGCAGCAGATGATCCGGACGAGGAACTCAAACGTGAACCATATGACGCACACGCCCTCTACCACGGTCAGGGCCGGGTTAGTGATGACCTCATAGCGCTGTACCTCCACCGTCACGTTGTCGCGGACCACCTGCTCCGTGATGGTGTTGATCTCAATAAAGGCCTGATGGGTTTCTAGACAGAAGGTTGTGATGGAGACCAGAATGAAGAATAGCGAAGTAAAGGCCACTACCTGCAAAAGACAAAGCAGAGCTATTTATTTGTAATACACATTAATGAACATTGTATAAAACAGATATACAATGCGGGATTGTTTTTAACCAAACTGTAAAGCACTTTGTGTTGCATCTTTTGTATGAAAAGCGCTTCATAAATAAAATTTGATTTTGATTTGAAATATGCTAGATAATAGCTACAGAGGGGATTTAGGTGACCATCAGTAGCTAACACAGACAAAACAGACAGATTTTAATGCACAAGTATAAAAATTAATAGAAAATCAAAAATCTAACTGAAAGAGCGCTCATCTGCTTGTGATGAGGTCCTCTCTCAGCGGATGCATCAGGCCAGCAGGTAAGTCTCCCTCTTGGCACTGTGTGAAAACCTGAATGATGTATTAACAGGCATGTGAATTTTAGCAGACGGGGTCATCTACTTTTTTATTTGTTTCACTCTGAGACAATTTACCATTATTAAACCAGATTCTATGCACTTTTAGGTGATTCTACCAAAAGAATGATAATACTATTTGACCTTGTGTCTAGCTACTACTGAAGCCGCAGCTGGAAAGGGGCACACGGACAGAAACGAGGCAACCAGTGCATGCCATCAACTCCTCCAAACACCGCCAACCATTGAGGCACTTGCCACACGCTCAATCTAGGCAAGGTGACATGTCTTGCCTGAAAACAGCAGTTTTGCACTGAACAGCCACGGCCAACTGTGACACCTGGTGTTCCCATAGGTCTTCCATCACAGTCCTAACCAGATCTTTGCCTGCTCAGCTTCAAAGGTCTGACGAGATCTGGCTAACACGAGAAGGTGGAGCTAGCTTATAAGATAGGCAAGGCAAGTTTATTTGTATAGCATAATTCATACACAAGGCAATTCAAAGTGCTGAACAAAATAAGAAAGCATTAAAATCATAAATAATCACAGAACATTAAAAAGAAAGATAAAAATATAAAATCCCTCAGTTGTATGCACAGCTAAACAGGACTGTTTTTAACCTGGTTTTAAACATTGTCAGAGAGGAGGCCTGTCTCACATCTTCAGGAAGATTGTTCCAGATTTTAGCAGCATGAATCTGAAAAGCAGCCTCCCCATGTTTAGTTCTGACTCTGGGCACTAACAGGAGTCCAGTCCCTGTGCTCCTCAGAGTCCGGGCTGGTTCATATGGTACTAACATGTCACTAATATATTTTGGTGCGAGGCCATGGAGAGACTTGTACACAAGCAGAGCTGTTTTAAAGTCTATTCTCTGAGCCACAGGAGACCTGAGGACTGGACTAATGTGGTCGTACTTACACATGTGTGCATATTGATTCAATAACATTTGGGCACACGGGTTTAAGCCCATTTTATGTTCAAGAAAACCCTATGTCTTCTATCGCTTCATTGAAACCCAGTGTTGAATCTCAAAAAATACCCCCAGGCTTCTAGAAATCTTTGGCAGCGACAGGCAGACACTAGCCGTGTAAGAGAAACGTGCCGTTGTTTTCACAGCCACTATTTGCCTCTTGACTTGACAGATAATTAAATGCTTTTATGTGCAATTTGAAGAGAAATAATTAAAGTTCTTACATCTTTTCCTTTTTTTCACCCATTGTAAAAGCTTTTGGTTCTCAGGAGAGCCATACACTGCTCTGGGAGAAAACGCAGCAATTTAAAACCAATTACACCTGTGAGCAGCCACCTTGACTGAGAGAAAACATGCCGCAAAAACAGTGACAAATACTTTATATATAACTTATCAAATCAATTGAACATTTTTGTAAACACTAATCCATGTTGACTGGTGGCATAATACAAAAATGCATTCTCTTTTTCATTGATTATTTGGTCCATCCTTTTCGTCTGTGCTATAGTCGGAACTGCTAACATGTTTATACAGAGGTATTAATGATCCAAGCATTTTGTACTGCTAAACTAGTTCCATGGAAAATATGAAAGTTTAGATCAGGTCAGAAATGTGTCTGTTTGGAGCAGATGAACACCAGCCGGTACAATCATGTGAGCTATTGTTTACTGAAGCCTAATTGTCATGCTTTTGTAATTTTCCAGCTGGTTAAACATGTCATGTGCTCTCAAATATCACAAACAAAACTAATGAAAGCCATTCAAGTCATAACCTATATTGATATAGTATTATTAATATGATCCTGAAGTCATTTTATATTTCCCCAAGATAGACAACATTAAAACGCCTATAAATTATTTTAAATTAGCTTTTGTCATCACAGTCATGCACGCATACACACAGCCACAGACAATAATATTCCCTCTCGCCTCAGCAGACTGTTTCCATGTGACTTTTGAGCAGCACACTCTTCACCAGGGACTCATCCAGCCCATACAACACTGCAGGGTTTTAGTCCGAGAGGACCAACTACAGTCAAACCTACTGAATGTATCCTTCTTATCTCCAAGACACGTTAATGTCGTATCAACCAAGTCGAGCGTTGCGCTCACAAAACGCCAGACGTCTGGTGGTTCCTAAGGTCTCAAAAATCACTGTTGGTGGCAGAGCATTTAGCTACCAAGCTCCTTTACTGTGGAATCAGCTTCCCATTTATGTTAAGGAAGCAGATACGGTCTCCACATTCAAGGCCAGGCTTAAAGCACTCTACTTTAATTTAGCATATAATTAGGTAATATATAATATATGGTGTATATATTATATATATATATATATATGCTGTATTATGTTATATATTATGTTATATAATATTATACAATATATGTATTATGTTTTGTAATGTGTTATGTTGTATATTATGTTATATATTATGCTATGTTGTGTATTACATATGATATATATGGTATGTATGGTATATGTGATGTATATGATATATAATATATAATTAGGTTTGCCTGGATCGGTTTGCACACCTGGTGTGCAATCCATGAATCTTGGTGCTGTAACCTAGGCTAGCCTAGCCGTGGCTGCTGCTGTCTCACCTCCTTTCAGATACGCTCTCTTTATTCAAGGCTAGGTTTAAAACAGTCCTCTTTAGTTTAGCATATGGTTAGGAAGGTAAGACTCAGGGAAGGCTAAACTCCTCAGACTGTCAGTCAAGCTGCATAGGGAGTCAGTTTGCTGGGAGAAGTATGGTAACTTGAGCACTATCCTCTCCTCCTTCCTACTTTATCTGTTTAGCATTTTTAGGATTTTGACTGTAGTTTGTTCATTGCTATTCACCCGTTGTCCCATTGTCTGTTTCATGGTACAATGACGGGATCTCTGAGCCTGGCCTCCTCCATCTACACCTGCGGACTGCCCCGCCCGACCCGCCTGGGAGTGCTTCAGTCCTGCACCGGACCTGCCCACGTTCAGCGGCCACTGGTCCACGTTCTGTAGCTAGCTTAGGTCCTAGATCATTAGCCTGTCCGTCCGGAGGAGCGGATCCCTTTCTCAAATGGGTCTCCCTCCCTGTGGGTTTCCCTAGTTCTCCCCAAGGTTTCTCACTTTTTCCCCACTGGGTTTTTTAAGAGTTTTTCCTTGTCGATGCAGGAGGGTCTTGTTGGACAGTTAGTGTCCAACAGAAAGGATTGGTGATGATCAGGACACTTTAGCATTCTACAACATGTATGGACATTTTCTTCTGTGTGTGCTTTATATTTTTCATGTGTTTTAACTGTTTAACTGTTCTCTGATCTGTGTTGGTGATTTCAATGGTTTTGTTAAGTCCACTGAGATGACTTCTGAATAAATTGTATTGTATTGTATTGTAACAAGTGGAGGACAGAAGAGCTTCTTAAAGAAGAAGTTACAGGTCTGTGAGAGCCGGAGATCTTCCTTGTTTGAAGTGACCTAATACTTATTTTCCACCATAATTTACAAATAAAATCTTTAAAAATCCTACAATGTGATTTTTTTTTTTCTTCACATTCTGTCTCTCACAGTTGAAGTGTACCTATGATGAAAAATACAGACCTCTGCCTTTATTTTAAGTGGGAGAACTTGCACAATCGGTGGCTGACTAAATACTTTTTTGCGCCACTGTATATATAAATCTTACGGTGGAACATTTTTGACAAGAACACATAATTAGGTTATGGACCCAGTACCAGAAAAATATAAACATGTCAATGATCAAAACATGACTTGGTCCATGTCTTTCAGGTGACTCGGACTATGTGCAGCCACTAAACCATAGTCTTTTTTCATCCACTCTGTAGGACCATATTCTGTACTAAGTACTAATCCTAGCTCATCTTTACATATGGTGCACATTATGTTTTAAATGCACACACCAGTTAGACCCCTGAGATGAATAGGTGTTTGCAATAAATTGGTATATTTGGCAAAATACTCACTGGATGTATTTTCTCAACCTGTTAATTGATTCTTGCGGCTCAAACATCTGTTAACTCTTGTATGCACAGACAATCAATCTGGCAGCGAGACACCATCCATTCTGAACCAACATCTTACTGACAGAACTGATCAAAGTGTTTATGCAAATTAACTCAGGATCCACAGTCCTGAAGTGTGAGAAATCATCGCTGAGGTGTCATACCTGTTAAGACTGTGTTCATATCCACCTGCTGCTTTAGAACATTCTCAAATAGGAGCCGTGACTGAGAAATGTATGCTTGAATAAAATGATTTATAAATTGGGGCACACATCGATCCTGGTTGTAGGAGCCTGTGCGCCTGTGATTGGGGCAGAGGTTTTAATCGGCTGTGGGTGATAACAGTTGAAGCCCATTACCACAGCAGTCATTAATTACAGAGCTCACAAATTAATGCAATCCTGAATGAGGAGACAATAGGGGGGTGTTTTCATCTGTCTGACATAACCGGACCTGGGTGTGGGGTCCTCTGCAGTAGCTTGAAAATAGGCAAAAGTATAATAGCAATAAATAAGTATAATAGCAATAAATAAGTAAACGATTAGTTTAGTAACTGTTATATTTTACAATTGGTGCTTCACAATACAATTCAATTCACTAAATTAATACATTCTGCTTTTGGCTGAAACAGTATATAGTTCATCTTTGACACCT